TTTGACTTTTTAAAAATCTTTTTATTTTTTTAATCCTCACCCAAGAATATGTTTTTATTGATTTTAGAGAAGGAGGGAGGAAAAGGGAGGGAGAGAGAGAAACATCAATCAGCCACGGCCTGTACACACCTAGACGAGGGATGGAACCTGCAACCTGGGTATGTGCCCTGACCAGGAATCAAACTGTCTTTGGTAACAGGATGATGCTCCAACCAACAGAGCCACCTGGCCAGAGCTAAAAATATATATTTTTTAAATTCTTAAAACCTTTATATAGAGTTTGTAAGACTAGGAAGCAGCTATGATCACTGCTCCAACCCTTCCTCCTGGCCTCATTACAAACTACTGAGACAACCCCATCTATTTACACTAATAAAAGAGAAAGATACAAATTGACCGTACCTTTGCAACGCCCACCAGCCAATCAGTAGTATTCAAATTAACCAAACAAAGATGGCAGGTTAATTTGCATAAGCAGATGCCTAGCGGCCTGGGTGGAGTGAGACTCTTGCATTGTCACCATGGTAACAACGCAGGCGTTCCACACCACTCCAGCAGTACCAGGCCTCTGGGCAGCATGGGAAGGCAAAAAGGCCCGAGTGAAGGTGGTGTTGGCAGCCAGGGGAAGGCAGGCCCATTCTTGCACAAATCTTCATTCACTAGGCCTCTAGTGCGTGCGTGCGTGCGTGTGTGTTTCTGTGTGTGTGTGTGTATTAGAGAAATATGCTAATTAACCAGGATGGGGGCAGGGCGGCACAGGCCTCCATGTGCCTGTGCTGGAGGAGGGCCTGATCAGCAGTGGCCGTGGCTGCCATGGGGCCTGGGGAGTGAGGCAGGGCCAGACTGGTGACCTGAGGGTGGGCAGCACCACACAATTTCAAATCACATGCTGGGCTCCTAGTGTAACATAAATCTCTAAAAGCCAAGATGTGACATAAGTTACAAAGACTCATTCCTAACTTGGAGTGCACACGAGTAACTGTGCTAGGTACCAGTTACTGACAGTAGCCATTCAGGACTGAACACAGCCTCCATTTTGACTGCCAATAAAGTAATTTTCAAGTGACTATGAAAGCAACTAAATATATAGATTCCATGCACCTCATACTTCAGTGAGACTGAGGCAATAAAATCTAAATTCAAACCTTAGCTAGAAGTTATCACTGAAGTTGGATACACATATCCCATCCTATATAATAAAAGCCTAATATGCTAAGTGTCTGACCAGTTGCCCACCAGGGGGCAGGTGCTCCAACCAGCAGGTTAACTTGCTGCTGGGGTCCAATCAGAACTGGGTGAGTGGGCTGGACACACCCTGGAGCCCTTCCATGGTCCCTCCCCAGCTAGCCAACCTCCCATGGTCCCTGCCCGGCCCCGATCATGCACCACTGGGGTCCTGTGGCCTGGCCTGCACCCTCTCTCAATCTGGGACCCCTCAGGAGATACAGGAGAGTGGTTTGGGCCCAATCCTTGCAGGCCAGGTCGAGGGACCCCGCCAGTGCTATGCATTGGCCTCTAGTCCTATATAATAAGAGAGGAATATGCTAATTAGTCAGGATATGCTAATTAATCACAACCAGTAAGATGCTTAATAGTTATGACCAGTCAGGTGCAGCCCAGTAGTGGCCCCCAGAGGGAGTGGCCATCTGCGAGGCCGTCATGATCCTGCGCTCCCAGTTCCTGGATGCCAGATGGAAACGCTGGAACTTCGGAAAACAGGCCACCAAGGTCCTAAATGAGTATTTTTATTTCCACCCGAGTAACCGTATCTCAGTGAGGAGGCTAAGAAGGAGTTCGCCAAGAGGTCTGCATCACCATCTCTCAGATTTCTAACTGGTTTGGCAACAAGCGGATTCACTATAAGAAAAATATCACAACGTTTCAAGAAGAGGCAAACATCCGTACCATCAAGACCGCCATGTCTTTCACCCAGGGGGCCACAGCCAAACCAGCTCCCCAACACCCCTTCCTCCGCAGGCTCTGGCGGCTCTCCCAATCCTCAGGACCCGGAGGCATGTTTCTGGGAAATTCCTACCCTGCTTCCCAGGTGAATCTCTCTGACACCCGATGGGCCCGGGGGCTACGGAGGTAACTTCGGGGGAGTCTAGATGTAGAGCCCTCGGGAAATGAGGGACAAAACGACGGCTGGCAAGAGGCTGTGACCCCGTCCTCAGTGACATCCCCAAAGGAAGGACCAGGGAGCATTCATTCCGAACTTCCAACTGATCTCACCCCTCAGGCCACAGGATGGGGGCACGAGGTGACTCTTGACGAGAGGACAAAGGCATCCAGAGGACAAGCCCCAGACACAGGAGAAGCACAAGATGGAGAAGAGCAAATGGGGTTGCCCTTCCCCAGCCGACTCAGTGCTGGGGTTGCCGACTACATGGCAAGGAGAAGGGGGTCCCCTAAGGGGAGGTGGAGTCTGTCTCCCTTTTTGCCTCTTTTCAATTCTCTTCTCCTGGGGCTGGTGATGGTCCTGGGAGTCTGTAGGTGTAGCCTGGTGCCGCCACCCTCACCTCCCCAGGCCGGCAACGGTCCCAGGAGACTACGGTGTGGCTTGGCACTGCTGCCCTCACCTCCCAGAGCAGTGATGGTCCTGAAGGCTGTGGGTTTGGAGCCAATACCCAGGCTGCTTGGCGCCACCTCATATGCAAATTAACCTGTCATCTTTGTTGGATTTATTTGCATACCCACTTCTGATTGGCTGGTGGGTGTCGCAAAGGTATGGTCAATTTGCATCATTTTCTTTTATTAGCTTGCTTCCTCATCGCCTCTGTGGAAATACCAGGGAGCAGGAAGTCCTCCCCCTCCTTGCCAGGGCAACCACTGAAAGAGGGGGAGTGCCCCGAGACCAAAGCAAGCCCAGCAACCCACATGCTCTGGGCGCCTCTGGGCCTCTCTTGGGAGTGACAGAGGCAGAGGGCGGGGGTGTGCGTGGGGTGCCTCCGGGGCTGCTGCCACCATCTTTGTGGCTATGGATGCCATTTTTGTCCCAGAGTGATGGTCACTCAATTAGAATATAACCCTTTTATCAGTATAATTTTTTTGCAGCTTCTAAAATTTCTAAAGTCTAGTAGTGCCCAAGGCCACCTTCATTAACCAAGTAAATAAAGCAATTCCACTTCGTACAATGGGTCTCCCTTAAGCTATTTCTGACTCCTATTCTGCTTAATTTCTGGCACACAATCTTGCCTGTTCTGAGAAAATGTGGTCTCCCACACTCTTGTAGTACAAAACCGACAAGGAATGTTCATTCCGAGCAGGTCAGTTAGAGTCAGGACTCACCCAGAGGTGAAAGCCCTGACCTCACCCACGGGGACAGTGAGGCCGCGGGGACCTGGCTCTGGCGCTCACACTCAGGACTCCGCAAGGTGCAAGGGGAAAGGCTGTGCAGCTTCTCAGACTGCTAAGTACTACGATGTATTATACCAGGAAGATGCCCAAACCGTGTCCTGGGAGCAATTCCTAGAGACAATTGATGCTCCAACCACAAAGAAAAAAAAAGCTAAACTTAAAACATCATTAATCTGAAGAAAGCAAACCACTCTGACAGACAATTGGATGAATCCACGGCCGGCCCAGGCTATATGCCTACACAGGTCAGTACTTTCTTGTAGTTTCCTCGTCTCGGGCCTTTGAGATCTGAGGTGGGGGAGATGACAATTCACCTTTTGATTCAGCATTCCTAATTCGTTGAAATATTAGGTCCCCAAAGACAAAGACTGTCCAAAACTGGCCACTTCCACGTCAGTTTTAAAGCTCACATCCACCTAAGTCAGTTTTAGGAATGTCGGCTCTCCACTGCTCAGATCTGTCTCACTCAGAACCGTGGAGTCACCCGGAGTCCTCAGCCAAAGCACACCCTCTGCCCTGCTGGTCCCACCCAACTCCCTGACAGTCTGGGATGGGCTCAGGAGAGCTCTGCCAGTGTCAGAATCCCCACGGGTTTTATATAAAGAGAAATAAATGCAGCATTTTATGGGGTTTCATTTTTCACAATACTAAAAAACTTAGCAACAGGCCAAGTTACCTTTTATTTTTCTGAAGGCAGCTAAGTCTAGAAAAGTGGGGAAGGAAACAGTTATTTACAATGTGAAGGCGAAAAACCTTATTCTTCCAGACATTCTCTCCTACCAAGTCAAGTAACTCTTTAGACTCTTCCCAGGCAAACACTCAAGGATCCCTCGATTTCTGCCTTCCATACTCTCAGAATCCAGAACTGTATTATCTTCCCATCTTCCAAAAACTCAACAACACTATCACTTTAATTAAGCCAAGCCCAGGCTTACTTACAGTCAGGCGCATGTACCTATGGCTTGAGTGTAAAGGAACTAGCAGCACCTGCATCCCGTCTGCAATGACGTCAGATCAGGAAGGAGAGATGCAGCTGACTCCCCTCTAACTGCAGGCCACACCCTCCCTCGCGTTACTTTGGGAGAACACTTCCTGAAGTATTTTCTGATTACTTTGGGAGAACACTTCCTGAAGTATTTTCTGATTAACTTGGATTAAAAGAAAAATAAACCTAAACATGTTCCTGAGTTGCGGATCATTTACAAACTATCCTGCATATTAACATATCTGTTTGAAAATGAAAGAGAATCAAAGGAAACTTGTCATTCTGCGCTTCTAACAATTAATCTAAACCACTTCATGAACAGTTTCAGCAAAACTCACCCCAAAGGTGAAGGGAAGATCCCAGGGTCACAGAACTCTTGATTTCAGAACAAATCAAACCATACCTGACAGGTTTTCCCTGATCTACTCTCCACCCTAACACTCAACCTTTTTATCACAGAACATGAGTGGCTTCACTGAAGTTTCATGAAATGAAACACATCTCTAACAGAAGGCTGGCAGGAGAAGGCGGCCTGAGGTCACTAATGCCGAGGTTGTGCTCCTGGGTGGGTTCTGGGCGGTCCAAGGCCTGCCTCCCGGAAGCCGGGGCACAGCACCCCACTTCCACTCGCTTCTTACGACTCCGGCAGGCGGTGGCGTCAGATGTTGAGAGCGGCGAAGGTCTTCACCAAGGTGACCTGCTCGCTGGCCTCCGCTTCGCTCCTGTTGTCCTTGTGGCCGCCCCTGCTCTCGAGGGCTTTGAGCCGGTGCCGCTCCTCCTGCCGCTTCTTCTTCTCCAGGCGCTGCTGCTCCCGGCGCTGCTTGTTGGTGACCTGGAGGAGAGACGCTGGGTGAGCCGTCTGCGGAAGGAGGTCGGGGCTGACAGAGCGAAGAGCACAGCTGCCTTCCAACAAGACGGAACAGAGAAAACCCACCTACCAGACCAAACACGATGGGGTTTCCATTACTGCTCAAACTTCCATGTGAATGTATACCCCCTTGCTGAGCTAGCAAACAAACCAGTCCCGTTCTCCTCATACACCGATCAAAGTGACCTAAGAAACATTCACCCTGCTCCAACAGAGACAACCCTCCAACAGGCCACCGGCCGCCTTCCCCTGCCGCCTAATGCTCAGGGGACCCGCACTAACGCTGCAGGTTAGCCTCTGCCTGTGGCTTTTTACTTCGTGCTGCATTGTGAGCTCAGAACTTCTTGTGAAAGTCTTTAAAATGGTGTCATATATTACCCGTGGGTATGGGGGGAGGGAGATATACAACTTCTTGACAATTTACCAAGAAGCCTTTAAAATTTTCAAATATCCATGTCCGCTAGCCTGTCAAGTCCTCTTCTGGGACTCTAGCCAAGAAAGCAATGCAAAATACACAGATTCATACAAATAAACTACGAGAGTGTTCGCTGCAGATGACGGTATTTGTAAACATGGATGCTACAGCGTGAATGCCTGTGGACGGCAGCCATCCACAGTGGTGGGAGGTGGGACGGTCTGGCTGTGTCTACAGAGTACAATTCCAGCGTGCACTTCCTTCCAGTCATCACTGCGTATGCCAGACAGGACAAGCGAGATCTTCACTCAGTTTCCTGCTACACCTGTATGTACTCCCCATATTTTCTACAATCACTACTTATAAATGGAAAGAAAATTACACACTGAAATGAGCTCCACGTTCCCACCACTGCCACCGGATGACAGCAGCCCACCCTTTGCCCTGGCAGCCCCTTCCATACCTTTGGGAGGTTGTTTTTATTTGCTTTGTTCTCTTCACTAGGGCTGGCCTGCGCCTTAGTATTTTCAGTCCTGCCTTCATGTAAGCCCTGATTTCCAAAGAGTCTGGAGCCACTGCCACCCTCCTCCCATAAAGGACCACTCTGCTTCAGCACTCGGCCACGGGACTCGAGGTTCTGCTCTGCATCTTCCAAAGAAAGACATTTTATTAAAACTGAGAACTAAGAGAGTCACACAACTCGGTGCTTGTTAAATAATTCAAAAGTACCTGGGTCCCTCATTCACTGTCATTTGGAGACCAAGTATCTTAATAACAAGTCAGTACAGCAGGGAACACGGGGAAATTTTGATAAAATTTGGAAGGTAAGTTTAACAGTAATCTGCTAGCTATCAGCTCCCCACCAGCAGACTGATTTGTTTCATTAGACAAACCACTTCTAATGTAAGTATTTAGGGGGAAATCTTTCATTTGCAGCCAAAGAGAAAACAGGCTCTAAAGATGTGCCATACAGTAGAGGAGCCACTAGCTACATGTGACTATTTAAATTAAATTTAAAATTAATTCTTCAGTATCAGCCACATGTCAAATACACAACATACTAGACAGCAACAGACACCAAACAGTGCCGTTTTAAAATCACAAAGACTGAGATATTGCTTTCTAAAAGGCACAGCATATAAATAAAGTGGATAATAAAATGCCCCATCACATAGAAAGCTATGCCAGGAACAGTATATGGCTCATAATAAGTCTTAAAATCATTTTATTTTTTAAAATATGTTTTCTTTATTTCATAGAGGAAGGGAGAGAAAGAGAGAGATAGAAACATCAATAATGAGGGAGAATCATTGATCGGCTGCCTCCTGCACGCCCCACACTGGGATGGAGCCCACAACCTGGCATGTGCCCTGACTAGGAATTAAACCCTGAGCTCCTGTTCATTTGTCGACACTAAACCACTTAGCCAAAATCATTTTAAATAAATGACTTGAGAAAACAGTTAAGACATCATATCTTTTTGCTTTCCTATCACAAAATTAAATTCAGTTCAAGTAAAAATAATTCTGAATTAGCACCAGTTGATAGATGCTAGCAATCTAAATATTTCCATTACAAAAATAAGGTATTTTTCTCTCCATTTTAATTATCATTTTGATTTTATGAAGAAGTCTTATTTCTAAAAGGATAAAGTGTTCCCTGACACTCTCCACCCCTCCAAAACTGGGTTAGGTGGCCTTTCCACGCTTTCCCCTGGCACCTTGAACCTTCACCTCCATTATGTATTGTTGTGCCCGTTTACTTATCTGTCTCCACCACCCTCATCCCCATCCCCACTGACTACTCTCCCCCAGATGCAGGACAAGAACCTAGAAAACCAGCTTGCATAGAAGTGCTCAATAAACAAGTGCTGGATGAGTGAGGGAAAGGACAGTATAATTACTTCGGGTGACTTGATTAAACATCAGTATTTGAGAAATCACCAATACAATCATTTTGAAAGCTTATAAATATCAACCATGGACTTACTATTTCTTTTCCCCTGGTTCATCTGAAGCATGGCAATTATTGCAGATTCAATATTATAATTTTCAGCTTCCAGGTTCTGGACTATCAAATTAAAATCCTATCCAAGAAACAAAGAAACACTTCAAGACTCTAGGAATACTTTCCTCTCTCTCTCCCTTTTCTCTCTACTTCAATAACTTGGTAAACGAAATAATGTAATAATGAGGATTAAGACAAAGTTCCAAGATCTTTTCCATTTAGAAAATGTCAATTTTCAATAAGGTTGGTCACGTGAAAAACTAGTTACTATAAATGAATTCCCTTTTAAAATGCTTTTACTTATAAAAACACGAATCAGAATAAAATAAATCCACATACTTCCTTAGGATTTTGAGCAGTATTGGGTCAAGTCTAGCAAACAGGAGAGAAATGAATAAACAGCTCTCATTAAGTCGTATCACACCACCTCATCAAACTACAAAGAGCACATGGACCTGCTTTGGCCCATCAGGTGTTGGCATGCTAACGGTGCTAAAAACTAGCAGGGGAACTAGGCACAGCAACGCTTGCTTATAAACCAGGGCGACTGCGGGACAGGAATACTAACTGAACAGCCAGTCGCATTGCAAACTTTCTGAACTGCATCTTCCACCTCATCTCGCAGGTCGTCTTCAAAGTCGACTCCCTTTGTCTTGACCTTTTCTCTTTTATTTGATTCATCTTGATGAAGTATCTGAAACTATAAAAGGAATATTCAGAGTCATCACCATGGAACTCTTGCAAACTATGTTCAGAATCTTCAACACAGGAAGAAACTCTAATCTCAAAAGCACTCACATATATAGGGGGAAATTCCACAAACAACCTTAAGAGCTATGAGTAGGCTCAATTTCACCCAGACAGTTCATCCAGTCTACAATACAAGTATTAGAGGGAACAACCCATGAAGCCGTAGGGAGTGCTCAGTAAGAATGGCATTAGTGCTCCTTTGGTTTCCAGATGCTTATGTTTTGGCCATGGCTGCTGACTCAAATGGCACACATTTCTCAGCTGATTTCCAGAGGCGTGTGCCTAGCAAGTGATCCTCTGTCCTAGCACCTGCAGCAGGACAGCGCATCTCAAAGACACAGGCATACACCTCTCAGCTGGCTCCCTAGGCCTTTGTAAGCATCAGCAAGCTCTGAATTCCAGTCCCAGTTGGACAGTCACAGTGGCATGGCTCATCCAACCTCACGTGTGCACTACCACGCTCAATGGAACCTGTCAATCCAAACTCTGGCACCACAAAGAGCAGTCCCTTAGAATCCATGCAGCCTTTGCAGCCTATACCTAAACCAGAAGAGCCCAAGGCATCCCTCTGCAGCTGCTCAGTCCCTGCTCCTCTGCTTGCAGGGAGACGGGAACTGGGCAAGGACCTTTCTATTTTCTGCATGTTAAAGTGTAAGTGCCGGACGGAGTGTTAATAAAAAGCAACCCATTATAACAGTATATTCTAACAATTTGGCAATGTGTATCAGGAGTCTTTGAAATGTATCCAAAGAATTAATGTCAAGTACAGAAAGGACTTACATAAAAGTGTTCATTAAATTGCCAAACAGTGGTGAATAACTGACAACAAGCTATCAGTGTCATGGTGTGGGGGTGGCTAAATAACCAAGGTAAATCCACAGAATGATGCCTCATGCCCACTAAAGTAAGAAACACACCCCTACCATTATTATTTAACAATGTACAGGAGGCATTAGTCAATGCAATTAGCCAAAAGAAAAAAAAATTATAAGTATCAAATTAAAAAGGAATATAAGTTATTATTGTCAGATAATTCTATATCTAAAAATACTCCACAAACAAAAAGAATTCCAACAAATCATATATTTTATAAAAATCTAATATCCAGAATATATAAAGAACTCTTACAACTCAACAACAACGAAAGTACAAATAACCCAATTAGAACCTGGGCAAAGGACCTGACTAGGCATTTCTTCAAAGATACAAATGGTCAAGAAGCTCAACGTCATTAGCCATTAAGGAAATGCAAATCCAAACCACAAGGTACCACTTCACACCTGCAGGATGGCCATAGCCACAATTTTAAAAAGGAAGAAAAAGGTAAGTATTGGTGGAGATGTGGAGAAAGTGGAATCCTCAGAGCAGTGCTAGTGGGAATGTAAACTAGTGCAGCCACTGTGGAAAACGGGGTGGCAGTTCCTCTCAGAGTTAAACATAGAATTATCAATCTTATGACCAGCAAGTCCACTCCTAGTATAAACCCAAAAGATTAAAAACAGGCACTCAAACAACTTTACAAATAGATATTCATAGCAGAGTACTGTTGATCTCTTCTGCCCACCACCCCCCCCACACACACACACCTCCCAGCCATTCCCCGCCACCGAAATCTGTCGTTCTGTTCCATGTATACATGTCTGTGGATCTATTTTGTTCGTCAGTTTATTTTGTTCATTAGATTCCACATATAAGTGAGATCATGCGATACTTGTTTTTCTCCAACTGGCTTATTTCATTTAGCATAATTATCTCCAGGTCCAGAAGCATGGATTAAATTTAAAACTAAAAGTAATTTAAATTTTCTATATAAATTCTATCCATGGAATCAGAACTATCAGCTATTAGGAAAGCGAAAGAATGGCAAGCAATTTTATCGGTCACTCTCATCTGAGCTAAAAAAGTAAAAACGAGTAAAACCCACAGATTCTTAAAGGCAATTCCATAAAAACATCACTGTTTTTAGCTCCAGGCACCCAGCCCTCCACCTGGCTCCTTCTGAGCTGAGACTACAGAACACGGAGGCCTCACTCACATCAGTCTGGAGGTGAGCAGGAGCTTCCGAGTTGTCATTGATCCTCCTAACGCTGTCATAGTGCTCGCCGTATCGATATGCGATGTGTAACTCCCGCACGCTGCTTTTATCTGTACCTCGAATCTGGAAGCAAAAGAAAGGAGATGCCGGTGAGGATTTGGTTGGTGTCAACACATGGAGAGAAATGCTACCCAGGAAGCCCAATCTACAGGCTGAATGTGAAATAAATTAGGAATAAGACTGGGTATGTCCAGAGCAACTTCTGACTTATCCTTCTCCTTTCATGCATGTTTGCTTCACTGTGTTTAGTATGGAACTGTATGCTGCACTGTGCTTAGTATGGAACTGTATGCTGCACTCTGCTTAGTATGGATCTGTATGGACTGTATGGAAATAAATCCATATGAAAACACACATTCAACAATCAGAGGAGATCCACAGTGAAGTTAAACTGGCGAAAGTTTCAGGCATCAGTACCGCTCCAGATGCACAGGCCCCTTACAAGAGGGAAGGCCTATGGGCACAGCAAATTCGCTGGTCTTAAAGCGCAAACAATTTGGAGGTGCTCTTTGAGAAAAAGAAAAATACAAGACTGCAAATATAGAAATGCCACAGCCCTCCCCAGGACCTAGAAAGAGGGCCATAAAAATGAGGGCCTTCCACTTATGCTTCAATACTTCACAATATGCGTGCCCCTGTTGTTACAACAAAAATAGCGTTTTCCACTAACCACATACTGAGCAACACAAACAAACTCAAACCTCCCACTTACATCAAGTTCAAAACAGTATTATTTAAAGTCAAGTGGCACTACTTCCCTCACAAGACATTCTAAGTCAGTGTTTCCCAAACTTTTGACATATGTGTACCCTTCTATAATTTTCGTAACGCTGAGTACCCCTCGTACTCATGAGAACACAGAATTAGGCACAGCTAAGCATGGTGCAGTGCATATCCCCACCAAACTCCGGTGCAACGCGTACCCCCACCAAACTCTTCCCGTACCCCTGGGGGTACGTGTACCACACTTTGGGAAACACTGTTAGGTGAACAGTACCCCTGGACCACTCCCCAGCAAGAGCAGCACTCCCCAGTCATGTCACAAGGGTCAGCCTGGATGTACCCACCAAACACGCCCCCCGACAGAAACTCTGAAGTGATTCTGAATCTGCAATTTAGAAAGCCCAGTAACCATCTCTTTGTTAAAACTCTAAAATGTTAGCACTTCCTTCTTGTTTTGACTGATAGTTAGGCTCTACTGTTCATTTTAACACTATTTCTGCCCTAAAAGTACAGCAAAAACCATGGAACAAACAGGAACCACAAGGAACCAGAAACTGCAACCATGAAGTTTTCTGCAGGTAAACCATTTAGGTCTCAAAGTACAGATGGTCTGCTTTTCACATGTACAAATACAGACAGCATCATTTATCTCCCAGGGGGAATACTGGGAAAGGAAACTCGTTATTAGAATATCTGAATGACATAATCCCTAAAGTACTTACATATTCAAGTCATACTACTACATACACAGTATGAATAGGAAAAAAATAGGAAGAATAGTCACCAACAGTTGATTTCAATTTGCATGAGTAGGGAAGATTACAGAGGACTTTCACTTTCTGCATCACGCAGGTCTATACCGGTCACAGCAGCATAGATTCCATTTGTAATCAGGGAAGAATGTAGGTTTCATATCCCCATTAATGTATGAGCCTACCATTTCAATGCGAGAGTTCTTACCCACGACAGTAACAATCAAAACAATTTCAATTCTTAAATTTGATAAGATGCTTCATTGGGGTGAAGAGATATGGGGGGCGGGGAACAGTGGATAGTTCCATTATATAACAAATCTATTTATTTTAAACACATATACTTTCAATGTTCAGCAATCCATGAAAGATAGCTCTATAGAAATGTATTTTAAAACATTCTACCTATGCAGATTTATCTTTCACAACGACTTAGATAATTAAGAAATTAATATAAAGTTATCGATGGAGAAAAAGCAGGCTATGGTTACTGAGTTGGCGCGGAATACTTTCCTCAAGAATGGGTCATTATGCTGTATATTCAAATTACTTTGATGACTTCTGCTGAACAGTAATCATTTAATGACAAAACATTGGAACAATGAAGAAGGTAACTGTTGGCTCACAGCCCACCCTCAGAGAATACCTCACTGAAGACATATAGCTCTCCCTGGTGTCGGTACATCCAACAACACTGCCCCAAAGGACACACACACACACATCATTTCCCTCCCAGTAAAATCCCTCATCAGCCCATAAATTTTCTAATTTATTTTGCTTTAATTTTATTAAAAGGACATTATGCCAGACATAAAGGCTATATACAGCCAATTAGATAACATTCTAGAAAAGCAAAACTGTAAGAAACCAATCAGATTAGTGGTTATTGGGAGTGGGGACATGGGGAGAGAACTAGTGACTCAAAGGGGCATGAGGAAACTTTTGGGGGTAAAGAAAATATTCTATGTGTTGTCGGTGGTGGTGGTTACAAGACTATTTTGTAAAAAAAAAAAAAAAAGTATGCCTAAGAAGGGTTAATTCTGCTATATCCAAATTATATCTCTGTAAACTCCACTTTATTTTTAATGATCAAAGACTATGAATAAACAACTTACAAAGGAAAACATTTGCTGGTGGTCTATAAAAAGTGAGAAAAAAGGCCACAGTTGCCTTTATAATAATGATGATAACAATAATAATAATAATAGAGAAACATAAGTGTGTATGTACATATAGACATGTCTGTATTTGTGTAGATTTGTTTAAAGGGTGTATAAAACACTGTGATACGTATCTTTCCATATGTGTATAGCTAAGAGTATGTGTGAATGACAGGGATACGCACTAAAATTTTAACAGTAATAACCTTTAGGGAATGTGACTCTGGCTGATTTTTATTTGCCTTTGTTAGTTTTTCTGAATTTTCAAATTTTTCTACATTTAGTATGTCTTACCTAATTAAAAAAAAAGTTAGACCCAGAGGAGCACTGGAGGGGAGGACTGATGGAAATCACACACCCAGTCTGCAGGAGGAGAGCCACAAAGGACAGAAAGCACTCTGAATAAAAGGAGGAAAAGAAAGAGGGTGGCCTGCATATACTTTCTCCTCGATCTCTGACCTTCCAAACACAATGTTTGGTTTGATGGACGGGGAGAGCAGGCTAATTCAGAATACCAAAGGTAAAGAAAGCTGAATGGACGGCTACTTCACTCAGTGGCTCCACAATGTGCTGTGCCACCCTCCAGCACAAACTGAACATTTACTGTACGATTTCATCTGCCGTAGAAAACCACTGGGACCACAGATACAACTGAGCGGACCAGAGCAATGGAGCCTGCCATCTTACGCCATGAAATAAATTTTGTTGTTCAGAATATCCTTTCTAGCAATGGTTAGTATAGTAAATTTGGTCTCTGCGTCCCTCCACCTAAAAAACACAAACATGGTTGTGGGACTAGGTATACGTTAAAACTAAATTTGTGTGCACTGATCCTTTAAAACCTCGCTTAGATATTTTACAGAATTATAGACAGTATTTCCACATCAGGCTCTCTGCCCCAAACTACCCAACTAACTAACTGTTGGATAATGTTTCTGGCATTTAAAGGTTTCTGAATTATACTCCAGACTCCATGTGAACTTGGCACAGGGTAATCCCAATCCACTAAACGCTTCTAGTCTTTGGTTAGGCTCAAAATCCAAGTTAGCCTATACCAGTGGTCGGCAAACTCATTAGTCAACAGAGCCAAATATCAACAGTAAAATGATTGAAATTTCTTTTGAGAGCCGAAAACCTACTTCTGTGCATGGGCCACGAAGTTTCAATCGCACTGTATGTGCGCGCCCACATGTGGTATTTTGTGGAAGAGCCACACTCAGGGGCCAAAGAGCCATATGTGGCTCGCAAGCCGTGGTTTGCCGACCACTGCCCTGTAAGTTCAATAGCACAGGTCATGCCTCATCGTCTTAGGACATCCCAAAAGCTAAGTTATAATGAAGAGCTTTAGATAAATTATATTTTTGTTTTTCTTAATCCTCACCCAAGGATATTTTTTCCACTGAGTTTTAGAGAGAGAGGAAGAGAGGGAGGGAGGATGAGGAAGAGAGAGAAAAAAACAAAAACCTAATGAGAGAGACACATCGATTGGATGCCTCCCACATGTGACCCAACTGGGGCCAGGGATTGAATCTGCAACCCAGGTACATGCCCGTGACTGGGAATTGAACCCACGACCTTTCAGTGTGTAGGCTGACGCACTAACCACTTAGGAAAACTGGTCAGGGCCAGATAAACTTTTGAATAGGTGACCTACCTGCCACAAAGGGGCATTAAGTTGATGAATCACCACATTCAATTGATGATTTCTTGCAAAGGCTACAATTGCATCATTGCCAGCAAATGTACCAGGCTTTGCCAAACTGGCCACTGCATGGAAATAGGAGAGAGAGAAAAATGAAGTCTTTATAATGGAAAAACCCAAATGCAAACATGCTTTAGTACTTATTTAGTTCTAAATAATGAGAAACAAGGGTAGACGTCTAAAACGTCTGTCCATTAGCATTGTCAGAGTCTAGGAACTCAGATGCTTAAAGAGTATGTACACAAGGGCACCAACCATTCTAAAGAAAGGATTCGTTTATTCTTTCAACAAATGTTTGCTGAATGTTTCTTATAAGCCTAACTCTAAAAAAGACCCAAGAAATGTAACACTAAGCAATGATTATAATAGCTTGCATTAATGAATGCATATTATGTGTCAAGCACTGCGCTGCTTCTCAAGGATTATCATTTTTAATCCTCAAAACAATCCTGGACAGGCATTATCACGCACACCACCTTAGAGATGAGGCACAAAGTAAGGTCACAACACCAGGACAAAATAGAGCTGAGGTCACACCCCAGGCATCCTGACTCCAAGATCCTGGCTTTTGGTGACTCCATTATACAGCCTGTCAGTTTGCCCTTGAGAAGTTTATAACCGATGGGGCAAATAAGAAAACACATTACTGAAGCATAGAAGTGCTACAGGAAAGGATGTGTTGTAAAGAATCTGGCCTTGCCCAAAGGAAGTTCTGACCTTTATCCCTGGCTCCTGAGAGATAACCTCTAACCCTTCAAATTTCCCAAGTGATAGGATATCTTTGTTATTCAGTGGGCTCCTCTGCCACACCTGACAGTTTAAGTTAATGAGGTGACTCTCTGACCATACAATATCAGCCAGATCTGGAAACTGGGGAGCTAGGCAATCAATCAAACCCACACAATGAAACGCCAATAAAAACTCTGGACACCAAAGTTCAGGTGAGCTTTGTGGCTGACAATACTCTATCACACGTGAATGCCAGGAGGAGGATGCATCCTGAGGACAAGAAAAGCTTTGTGTTTGGAACCTTCCCACTCTGCCCTTTGGCTAATTTTGAACTTGAACTCTTCCGTGTAATAAACTATACCTGTGAGTATAAGGGCCTTCAGTGAGTTCTATGAGTCCTTGTAGCAAATCATTGAGCCTGAGAGTGGTTCAGGAACCCCAAACTTGTAACTGGTGTCAGAAGTGAGGGAAGTCTTGGGGAAGACTGTGGGTGCCCTAAAACCTTGCAGCTTGGCTAACTCCAGGTGCGGGAGCGTAAGTCAGTTTGGTAGTAGGGGGGGAGGTAAGGTGTATCAGATAAGCTTCTTGACTTATAGACAACTAAACTAATTCCCAAATGACAGGAGATAGAAATGATGTTCCAGGCAGAGGAGAGAGGAGAGATGAGTGGGGCAGATAGATGAGTCTGTGGGCTATACAGTTTTGCAGGAATTTAGAATGCTAAGACAGCAGGGTGGAGGTGAGAATAGATAAGTAAGAAAATCACAGATAGTAAAGGGCTCAAGAGTTTGGCCTTTATCCTGACTGAGGTCAATGGGGAGCAGCCAATGGGTTATATATAGGGGAAATATTTATTTTTAGGTCACTACTCCACCTGCAAAAACAACCAAACTGAATGGGTCAAGTAGCAATGAGACCAGTCAAAAAAGTATTACAGAAATCTAGGCTAATGACCACAGAGGCCTGATTTTACAAGATGGTAGCAGTGAGAGAAAAAATATCAAGGCAGATGTGACAAAACTTAATGAATGACTGGGTACGTAGAGGGAGAAAGAGCAGCATTAAGAACATTGAGGATTGTAATCTGGATATTTGTACAATTGGGGGAGGGGGGGAAATGTTGCTGATTTTCCAGCCAAAACCGGTTTGGCTCAGTGGATAGCGCGTTGGCCTGTGAACTAAAAGGTCCTAGGTTCGATTCTGGTCAAGGGTATGTACCTTGGTTGCGGGCACATTCCCAGTAGGGAGTGTGCCAGAGGCAGCTGATCAATGTTTCTCTCACATCGATGTTTCTAACTCTCTATCCCTCACTCTTCCTCTCTATAAAAAAAATCAATAAAATAAAATAAAAATAAAGGAAAATAATAATCCTAGTAGAGCCAGATGCAGGGTAACTGTAGGTACTGAAAAGTTAAGTGAGCCATTCATTTATTCATTCAACAAACATCTTAGGAGTGCCTATCATTACCAGGTTGGGGAAGAGACACAGTCCCTGCCCTCAAGAATCTCAGTGTAACAAGGTAGACAGACGTTAAAAACGCGTAACTATGATATGAGGGATAATGTCATAACTCTAGTCTTCAACTGGCACACAAGCATAATGTGCAGACATGTAGGCTTCTTTCCACTTCTGCTATGGCAGTCAGGGCCACTCCTCGCTTTGAAGCTCAAATTCTTTATGAAGCACCAACCAGCGATCAGGAACACACAGTGACATTTCAAGCAAACGATTTCCCATTGTACTTCTAAAGTGACTATCACACTGGACACAAGTCCCTGACCCTGTCATACCTCCAACTCAACCACTTCATTCAAGATGCTCAAAGTAGGATTTCAAGTCACAAACTAAAAACTCACTTCATCAAATATATTTTAATTGGAACAATAACAACTCATTTTATTTAGCTAAACTACAAAACATGCCCCGTTTACCAAATTTAATTTGTAAACTGCTGACCATCTGGTAAACTGTGCCTATGGGCTAGACAAAAAGTGACCAGAGAGAGGGACCATTAACTCAGTGGATACTATCAACTCCTCAGGGGGAGTTTTACTGCTGTGCCTAGTGAATGAGTTCTCCCCTTCTGAGTTATGAACCACTGATAGCTCCCCACCCGCAAGACGTCCTCCTATGGCCCTCTACCTAGCCATTCCCCAGACAGCATCTTCAGAATCACTTCCGCCTCTCCTCTCTCCGCCTCCAATGAGTCCTGCCAATTATACTACCAGTTGTATTGGTCTGAACCCGCTCATCATCCCCAGCAGCTGTCTTGGTGAAGACCCTCTCACTCATCCGGCCAATGTGGACAGCTCCTAACTCATCTCCCTTCTCAAGTCTCTCCCCCCATTCTTTCCTGGCATGGTTCCCAGAGTTAGCACTCTAAAACACAGGAAATGTTCTCTCTCTTTCCTGATAAGAGACAGATAAGACTGAACTCTGTGATAAAAAATGCTATTGTAAAACATAAATATATCAGCACCTAGCACATAAAGTCCTCAGTAAATAATTGTCAAATTAAAGTTTAAAAGTTTATATGTACTTTCTTACTAGATTTGTGCCTATACGGAACAAATTAAAATCACTAAATAATTTGCCTCAAAGAAGACGGATTGTATCTGGGGTTTGGGTGAGAAATTAAAATGACTTGATTGACTTTTCTGGTTAAAAAGTAACACATGATCACTTAAAATCAGAAATATCTATAGAAGATACTTTAAATTATAAATAGACCCATCATCCCCAGATGACAAACAGTTAAGAACTTATTTTAATTACATCATTCAATCTTCATCAAAAAAGTCTATAATAGGTGCTATAATTATCTCCCCTTTACAGATGTGTAAAGGGAGTAAAAAATAAGTGGAGCCAAGAATAAACAATCATGAAGCGTTAGTATTTTACAAGAATTTTTCTAGTATGCTTCTCTGTGTGTATACCTTTAAAAAATAGGACACTATTTCACAGCCTGCTTCCCCCGCCACCCCATTGAATAGGAAGTCATGAACAGCTTTTCAGGTCACTGAACATCAGTCATCATGGTTATTAAGGGCATACTCATCTAAACCTACCGAAACCCAACTGCCTAGCATGAAGCCTATTACAGAGCAGACGAATAATATTTGTTGAATACAAGCCATAGTTTATGTAAGCAAATCCCTGGCTAGGAGGGTGAGGGGTGCTGATGGATTTAGTTACCCAATGAATTACTCCTGGAGGATCCAGTGTCCCACGGGAACCTACCATGTTTCTCAAAGGGAATGTCATCTTCTACAAAGGGTTCAAAATCTTCCCGCTGCTTGATCATGTAGTCTACGGTCTCTTGTCGGTGCTGGAGATGATTTCGTGAGTGTCCCTCCAACTGATCACCAAGAGCTCTGAACAGGCAATTACTATCAAAACAAAAATGTTGGTCACAACCTTTTAAAAATTTAGTTCGTCGAAAACAGAAATGCGTCATGCTAGGCCATCCATGGGCATCCTCCACACAGACAAGAGAAAGCCTCAACTCTGACACTCCATGGTTCTTCCTAGATATTGAGGGAGAGCACGAGGGCAGATGTGCAACCACATTACCTTCCTAAGAGGCACACACAGGATCTCTATTCCCGCTCAACATCCCTGGGCCTCAGCTGCTTCAGCAGTGAGGCTGGTGACACACTAACCACCTGAGGACGGGGTCCAACACCACAAGCCATTTCTCCGGGGCTCTGGTTCCCACAGGCTCTTCCGAAACGACAAAGCGTATCCACTGCCTCTTTCCTGAAACAAGTTTCACTAGAGCTGCCCAGCTGACTAGCCACTCACCTAACAGAGAGAACCCAAAAGAGTAATCTGCCCACCTCCTGCTACAAACAACTGCACCGGGCACCCCACGTCTTAAGAACACAGGGGAGACAGCCATGGGAGGTACTTGGCCAGGGCACAGGCGCACTACACAGCGACCCTCTCTCTCCTCCCCCAGCGAGCATTCTCCCTCCTCCTTGGCTCACTCCTCCCCCAGCGAGCTGCAATGCTCTTCTTATTCCGGCTAAATGAAAACTTCAGACACAGTCTTTACTTTGTTTTGTCTCTAAAATTAAAATGCTGGCAACAAACTTTAAGACTTATTACTTTCAAACCCCTCGAAGGCTTCTAAAATTCCAAACTGTATCACAAACACAGAGCCCAGATACTCAGAGACAAACACAATCTGGTATCCTTAAAACGAAGGAAATACAAAACTCCGAAGCCAAACAGTCGCCCAGTTTCACGCCAAACTGTTTCCTCTTCCAAATGAAAACACATGACGCTCTAATTCCAAAACATAAACGTGTCCCTTCCAGAAGGACTTTCAGATGCAAAGGCATACGAGAAAGATTTTTTTTTTTTTTTGTCTTTCAGTTCAGAAAAACGAATTTTCAGTAGAAAGTTATACAGAGGCAGGCATCTCTTCAAAAGTATAAGGATTCATACTATTTTTTTTTTTTTTTTTTGCAAGGGAGAAGGAAATATTTAAAGATGACAGATTCTACAAACTAGAGACCAAGAAACTTTGCCTCAATCTGAGGCAAGATTCTAGAAGGGACAGGAATACAGCACTTGGATACCAGACTGAGGTGTCTGTTGCTGAAATCTAACAACGGCAGTCCTTGTTCAACCATGGGGGAGGGGGAAGTAGGCTAATGCATAAAGTGTTTTCAATTTTAAGCTTTTCTCTCAAACTTTTCTGAAACCTGTAGGTCTATTCTTTATTCTTTAAAAAGGTGTCACTTAGCCCAAAATTGTGTATTTAGTTCTTTTATATTTAATATATCAAAATACAGAGAGTAACATGCTTTCTAACTACTTTTAGTAACATGGGCACATGTTCTCCATATAATCCAAAAAAGTAGGTATACACTACATTGCGTGAGCTCAAATGTGTTCATCTGCACACTGCACACAAATGTATGCAAGGAAAATTAAACATCTCTTACAATGTGCCCAGCACTGCTGGAAACACTTACAGGTATTAAAAGGGCTCAGTCTTCACAAGCTGAGCTAGGCACTATCCCCCTAGGGGAACTCGCTCAAGGTCACATAACTGTATGTAATGGACCAGAATTCAAACCCAGCCACCAAAATGTCAGCCGTAGTTACTCCTAGGTAATAGAATTAGAAATAAATGTTAAGTTATATGTTATTTAATATACTTCTCTCTATTTACCAAACTTTCCTGAAATCACTCAAAATAGTCAAAATGAAAAATCACAATAGACAAATCACCTCCTTTTCTGAGAGTTGCAAGGTAAGGACACAGGAAATGTGAACAATCAGCAGAGGGACCTGAGTTCCCCGGGGAGCCCGCAGTGAGAGCACTCTGAACAAAGCCTCATTGCTCAGAGGGCCTCTGGAATCCCACTGTGTCCGGAGTCCACACCCTCACACCACAGCGGGGCTTCCCAAACCCCACACTACTGACATTTGGGGATCATTCTTTGTTGTGGGGGCTGTCCTGTTAACTGCAGAACGTTTATTAGGAGTATCCTTGGCCTCTACCAACTACCACCATCACCATCCTCCCGGCCAGTTGTGACACCAAAAATGCCTCCGACATTGCCAAAAGGTCACCATTCGCCCAGGGAATAAAATCATCCCCACTTAAGAACCGCTGTGCTGCCGAAACCAGTTTGGCTCAATGGATAAAGCGTCCCAGGTTTGATTCTGGTCAAGGGCATGTACCTTGGTTGCGGGCACATCCCCAGTGGAGGGGGGTGCAAGAGGCAGATGATCGATGATTCTCTCTCATCAATGTTTCTAACTCTCTATCCCTCTCTCTTCTTCTCTTGTAAAAAATTTAATATATATATATATATATATATATATATATATATATTCTTTTTTTTTTTTTTTTAAAGAACCACTGTGCTATAGGGAGGATATATGTAAAGGTCTTGTTTTTGAGTTCATAAAGCCACCAAGTACACAAAGTAGTAAGGGTTGTAAGGGCTTAATAATTTAGCATGGGCCACTATTGTAAGATAGACATCAAAAAAATTAATGGGCTCCTAGGTTACAGTAATACTAGTCCATGTGCAGAAAAAGGAGGGGGGCAGGTTCTGTTCTTTGAGATCAGCTAGAAGATTGGGTACCATTCTAGTTACTACATGTTAAGAGACATGTTCAGATAAAATGATGTGGTTTTAAAGTGCATAATGAGAAGAACATAAACAATTACTAATGTTTAGGCTAACGGAGGCTCATCTAGAACCTAGACTCTAACAAATAAGTGGTTTTAATTATGACTGCACGTAAGAATCACCTGTGGACCTTTTCAAACGTCATCAGTGACCAGGCTGCACTGCCTGAGATTGTGGTGTTGCTGATCCAGGGGAGCCCGGGCACCGTAGTTTTCCCAAAGTCCCCCAGGTGATTCCACTGTGCCACCAGGTGACAACCACTGTGACCGAAACCAAAGCTGAGACTGCCGCACAGGCGATGCAGGGAACTGACAGGCAAGATGGTGTGTAAATGCCCTTCCACCAAGATCCTACAGTTCTAAGAATAAAAAATAAAACAACTTGTTTTATTATCAGAGATAAATGGCTTAGTGATTCTTTAATGTTTTAGAACACTACCAATTAGTTATGTTAATTTAGACTATATTTAGTGAGATATAACTAGACATAGCTCAGAAAGATGCTAATATGGTTTGTACTGCCTAATCCAATCAGAGGTTCTTTTCACCCTACAGCCAATGATGTTTTTCAGGACAACACCAAAGTTAAAATGTCTCTCTTGTTTTGAAATTGAATCCAATTTATGTGGGTCCACGTCAAACAACATAAATCTGAAGGTGGCCCATGATACATTACAAAACCCCATAGCTCCCTAATTAATCTATGCTCAACTGACTAAAGTAAGGGAAACATTAGACTCAGAGGACACCAGCTAATTTTATCCCTACGGACCAGGAGGTCCCAGAGTGCCACAAGGACCACACCATCAACAATGAACATGCCTACATACAAGATGCTCTCTCAGGCTACTCAATGTTGTAATCAGACCAGAATGGAAAGACAGAAGAGTGAAGGCTGTCAACCATTTCTTATGTTACCATAACTTTACTACAGTTCACCAAAGAGTACTCAATACATGTTAGCAAAAGGATATGCTTTCACCTGCCAGCCAGTCACATTCAGAGGAAACACCATCCACTCAGGGATAAAACCCATCACATAACCCTAAGCACAATGCTAAGGAGGGGTGACACCCAGGCCGCCTCGTGTGCCCATGGGAAGACCTGAGTAGCCTCGTGAAGCCCACAGAAGAGGAATCATCGCTTTACCTAACACTGTCCAAAGAATAAAGACCTTGGAAGTGAATACCAGCATTCCAGTCAAGTTGACCTCTGGCCGCTGCACCTCATTGGCCCTGACTTCTGCCCTTGTATCCTACACTCCTGTCACCCTGGTGCCTTTTCATGTATTACTCCTCAGTCTGGAAAGTTCTCTTGGCATATTCCTATTGATCCTTCATGACCAGTCTGTATGAGATCTCCTCTTAAGAAGCTTCTAGCAGAGTGCAGGTTTCAATGAGAATTTCTGAATGAATGAAAACTCCCTGACCCTTCAGGGAGTGTCAGCCGCTCAAAAGTGCCATGAAAATCAATCACTATTAAGAATACATCAAACTTTATCTTATTTACATAATCCATGCTCACAGTGTGGCCCAGTTTAAGGGCTGGGAGGGAAGGGGGGGAAAGTACCTCTGAGGCCCTTTCAGGGTATCCGTGAGTTCAAAACAAAGGTGTTATTTCTCTTTTTCACTCCCGAACTCTCACAAGTGTACAGTGGAGTTTTCCAGAGGCTAGCTAAGAAATGAGATTCTCTCTCTGACAGCTAATGGAATGTTTGCGTTTTCTTGGTTTAAAATTTTCTTTTACTTTCTTATATAGTAAATACTGCTAGCTGTAAACCACATAAACAAAAGCTCTTTGGAGTCCCCAGTAATTTTTAATAGTGTAAAGGGGTTCTAAGGCCAAAATGTTTGAGACTCACTATTATGTTTCTCTCTTACGAAGCTATGAACTCCTTAAGTATCTTATCATCAATGGATTCCCAGCTCCTTGCTTAACGGATGTTTGCCGAATTAACAAGTATGCTCTCTTTGATGGTTGGTGGCGAGGGGAACATAGAACCCCCAAAGTTTCCCATAGCATTAGGAAACTCCTTCAAGATTTTACAACTCCCTGTGGTGTGATTTCTAAGCAACATTCTGTTGAGTATTCCCGTTTCCTTGGCACCCTAATATTGAGAATACCATGCCTAGCCGAGACCAATTTGGCTCAATGGATAGAGTGTCGCCTTGGGGACTGAAGGGTCCCGGGTTCGATTCCGGTCAAGGGCATGTACCTTTGTTGTGGGCATATCCCCAGTAGGGGGTGTGCAAGAGGCAGCGGATCGATGACTCTCATCGATGTTTCTAACTCTCTACCTCTCTCCTTTCCTCTCTGTACAAAATCAATAAAATATATTTTTTAAAAAAGAGAGAGAGAGAGAGAGAGAATACCATGCCTAATATAGCAAACACAATCCAATCATTTGCAAGGAGTAGCCCCACCCCAATCCCACTGAAAAGCATTCAACTGGAGCAGTGCTTGTGAGTTTGATTCAAGTATAATAAGTAAGGTCCTGAATTGTTAAAGGCTTTGTATGTGACAAAGATCAAGGTACTAGGTGAAAAGCAAGGCAAACCTTTCACTGGAGTGGCTCCTCTAAGGAAATGCCCCTTTGAGAGGCCCTGCTGAGGGTCTAGCTGGCCTCCCTCTCTACTGCTATCATTCCTTCATTCCTTCACCAAAAAAATGCGCTGATTGCCTCTATGTACTGGGCACTGTGCTAGGTGGTGGTGACTACAATGTCATCAGACTAAATCCAGTTAGCCTAAAGCACTGAGAACACGCACCATAGGAAAGGGAAGTAAATCTGAGCCAGTTCATAAACAGGATCCATCATTACTGATCTCCTCCCCTCTCCCCTCCCCACCCTTCTCCCATCCATACTCCAGTTTCCACATCCCCTTTCCTGAAGCCATTTTTCCTTCTATTCTCCCATCCTCTCCCTCCTACCCATTTATTTACCCCGTGTCCCCTAAAGAGGCTGGCCCTAGACTCCAGTCCGATCTGAAGCCCATGGGAGAGTCAGCAACACCAGGCCCTCAGAGAACTAAGTCCCCAAGGGGCAGGTAAGGACTCAAAGGAGGCCAAGCGCTGCACCAGGGACCACGCCCCCACCGGTCTGAGCCTGCCCTGCGCGCCATCCCGCTCTTCAGGTGACCGCTCCCTCTCGTCCCTGCTGGTCTCAGCCTACATGTCACCTTTCGGAGAGGCCTTCCGGGACTCGGACCCAAAGGAGACCTGCTCCGGTGTTCTAGTGACTCCGGACCACTTTACAGCCTCCTCCCGGCCTTGGCCGCGATTAGGGGGCTTGGGGTTTCTGAGGGTCTCCGGGGAGGGGCCTGGCCGCCTCGCCCGCCGCCGCGGGACCCCTGCCCCGGGGAGCCGGCTGGCTCGCGGCCGGCGCTCGGGCCGCCCGAACGGGTGGGTGGACGAGAGCGGGCGGCGGTCGCCAAGCCCGGCGCGTCCCCCGGCGCCGCCTCCCGCGCTCCCGGGCCCGCCTCACCCGTCCCCCGGCACCTCCCGCAGCTTCAGCCCCAGGGCCTGCAGCTGGTTGGCGAAGCTCACGAACTCCTCCTCGCCGCCGGGCTCCGGCCGGCTCCGCCGCTCCTTGGCCAGGGCCCGGCGCGCCGCCCGCTCGTCCCGCTTGCGCTCGGCCTCGGCTTTCCGGCCGCCGCTGCCCGGCCGGCTCTTGGCCGCCTGCTTGCGGGACATGGCCTCGGCCCCGCGGCCGCAGCGGCCGCAGGAGAAGCCGCAGGACCGCGGGGCGGCAGCCCAGGTGCACCGAGAGCGCAGCGGAGCGGACGGCGCGGCCACGGCGTCTGCGCCGACCTGGCATCCAGGTCACGTGGCAGGGCCCCGCCCCCTCCGCGCAGGTGGAGGGCCGGCGCCATAGAGAGTTTCCCTCCCTCCCGGAGGGCTAGAGAGGCGCCCATCCTTGTTGGTTCCGCCCTGCCCCCTGGCGGTGGGTGGTCTTTCAAGTGGGGAGCCAGTGAGTCCGGAAAACAAATGAAAAAGTCGAAAGGGTAGAGGAAGGGAGACGGAGAGGTGAGAAGAGCGGCAAAAGGGAGGAAGAAATGGACACTAAAACTTTTAACTTTGTGAGCCTATAATTGGGATAGGCGTTTTCACTCATTATTGTTTTTTTAAAATATATTTGATTGATTTTTTTTACAGAGAGGAAGAGAGAGGGAGAGAAAGCCAGAAACATCGATGAGAGAAAAACATCGATAAGCTGCCTCTTGCACACCCCCTACTGGGGATGTGCCTGAAACGAAGGTACATGCCCTTGACCGGGATCGAACCCAGGACCCTTCAGTCCGAAGGCCGACACTCTATTCACTGAGCCAAACCGGTTTTGGCTCATTCTTGTTTAATTGTCTCAAATCACAGGAAATTGAATCTGAGAGGTTAACTATGTTCAAGATCGCACAGCTCAGATGCAGAGCTTTTCCCTGGTTCCAAAGCCACACGCTTTGTTGATTTAACCTGCCTTTCTCAACCTCTCTACTGTCCCTCCTAATTCAAGGGAGAGGTACTCTTCATTCCAGCCTAGGTTTTCCTGGACTAAGGAAGGGTCTTCCTGGGACACAGGAGTTGCCCTTTTAAAACCGGGACAGTCCCCCGGCATACCAGAATAGTTGGCCATCCTATTCCACACCCACCTACTCTGGAAGCTAACTCCATCAGCAATCCCGGCTGCTCCCTCATCCCCTGCTCTTCTTTGGCAATAGCCTCCACTTCCTCAGTTTCAATTAACATCTGTATTTATCTTTGACGTGTAAATAACTCTCATTTCAGGCCTGTGCTGGTGCCAGGTATAACACTGAAGCAAGGAGACATAGCAGCTGCTCTCAGGAAGCCCAGATTCAAGTGGGACACAGGCAAGGACACAGCAATTATAATAATACTCCATGACAAATGCTATCAAGGAGGAGGTACAGGGTGCTATAAGGAAAAAAGGAGTGAAAAAAATACAAAAAGATCCTGGCGGCGGCTCAGTAGTTGACTATCATCCTAGGAAGTAGGAGCTCACAGTTCAATTCCTGGTCAGGGCATATGCCCAGGTTGTGCCCTGTTAGCATAATTAAGCTTGACCTTATGACCCTCCCTAGATCCTTCCTGGGTAGCTAATGGGCTGTGGGAGGGACAGCTAGTGCTGCCAAAACAAGTGAAACTCACAAGAACATTGTAACTATGGTGACCACTACCTTGTTTACCTCTGACTATAAAATAAAGCATCAGCTTGCCATCTGGATCTGTTCTGTGGTCTCAGCCAGGCACAGAAGATCCACCTATACACAACTTATTGTGTTTGCCTTTTCTTCATCCCTCACCGGCCTCCTCAGGCTCACGGAACCCTTGGCTGTGCTGTCGCGGCACCCTGTCCCTCTCCCTTCCCCTTTGAAATCAATAAAAATGTATATATGTATATTTTTAAATCTATTTTTTTAAAAAGGCTTCTCAGAATATCTGAGTTCTATGCAGAAGCTTAAGGGATGAGAAGGACTTGTCCAGACTGAAAAATCTCAAGGCAAAAGGGATTGTGCCGAAGCTCAGTTTCGAGGAACTGAAGGAAGTGCAATCTAATAGGAGCACAGGGCTTGAGCCATGAGTCCGGAAGCAGAAGGAAGGCTCAGCTTTGGACAATCTCACAGGACTAATGGAAGAGTTTTACTCCAAAGCCTTAGAGCCAGGGGGAGCCATTGAAGGATTTTAATCAGGGAACTGCCATGATCAGGTCTATTTTAGAAATATGTATTTGGCTAGAGTGGGGAGAATGGGTTAAAGGTGGAATGCCAGGTAGGAGGCCCCTCTAGATGGCCAAAGACAGGTGATGGTGATGGTGACAGTGACGGTGATGGTGTTTGTTAAGGTTGATGATGATGGCTGGGACTGGGATGAAAGGGAAGAAAAATAGAGTGAAAGGTAGATTCACACGTTAGTAAAATATTCATGTAACAAAATTGGACTGAATTGTTGTGGAATGTGTTACAAGCTGCACTCAAGTTCCTGAAATTCTTTCTCGACCGATCCTTCTTTGATTCTCAGGAAGAGAGCATGAATTGTGACTGGCCCCGCCTTTTCTTGAACAGACATTCCACGCCTGCAATGGCCCACCCTTCTGCTTGTATTTAGTGAAGTTGGAAGGCCGTGTGAGGAGTGGGCACAGATATTCCAAACCTGCAATGACCCACCCCTCTGCTTGTATTTAGTGAAGTTGGGAGGCTGTGTGAGGAGGGGAAAACCACCGCAGGGAAGGCAGAGACCCAGATTCCCATCCAGGTCCATCACTGACTGACTCCATGATCTTGGGTTAGTTGCTTCACCTCCACAGTATCCTTTCCCTCACCGGTAAAGTGGGGATAACAGCAAAGACCAAATACAATAATAAAGATCGTAATGACAAACTTTTATAGTGTTTACTGTGTACAGGCACCATTCTAATTGCTTCACAGACACTATCTTATTAGTCATTACAACAACCCAATGAAACAGGAATTTTTTTTTTAATTTCTGCTTTGTAGATGAGAAGACAAAGGCACCGAGAGGTTAAGTACCGTAACTTTCCCAAAGTCACATGGCTAGCAAGTGGCAGAGCCATGATTTGAAGCCAGGCCATCTGGCTCCAGAGTATATGCTTTTAACCACTATATTATACTGTTCATGTAATTTGTTATAAACTGTAAAGAACTCTACATTATACATGAATTTTTCATTATTGACTCTCATATGCGTCCATATTTGTCCCTACTACAATCTTTCTACCATCGCTGTTGTCCCATATCATGATTGCCTCATTTTCTGCTTCACTTTGCCTCCATTAAAACAGATCATAAAGATGTAGAGCCTGGTAGGCTTGGGTTTCCGTCCTAATTTCACCTCAGGTGAATTATTTAACTTCTGACCCTCAGTTTTCTCTTCTGCAAAATCACTAGATAACATAAGAAAGGAGGGTAGTAAAGATTTAAAAAAAATGCAAAGTCCAAGGCCCCAGCAAATACCAGCTTAATGAAGTTCTTCGAATCATTCCCCTGTGGAAGGTTTGGGACTGACACTGCAAAGCTCAGAAACTAGGGAAGAAGGGTTTGTCACCACAAAACGTGGAAATGCAGAACATGTGAAAATGTCGACAGACGTGCAAACACTTGTCCTTCTTGGAAACACCCTTCCTTGCATAAGCCCTTGGCCTATCGACCCGAGCCGAGAATTGTGAATGAGCTAGTCTCTCAGCAGCGGTGTATGTTAGACAGTGTCTCCCTTTGAGTGCAAATCAATACTGCTTACAAATCATATCTGAAGACCAGGGCAAAGGAGTACTTGTGAATTACGTGGGTGCTATACCAATGTCGGCAGCGTGAATTAAAAGAATCATTAAACCTCATGGGGTGGTATTTGGTACAAATCAGTAAAAAAAAAAAATTGTGACTAGGAGAATTATAGTGAAGAAATGCAACTTTACGTGCAAGAACACACCACCACGAAAGTGCACAAAGGAGGACCTCACCCTCTGCTGTTGGAAGGCAAAGTAGTCTGGCTGCTTTGGGGAGCAGTTGGGCAATCTCTGGTAACATCCTAAAAGCCAGGTGACCCAGAAATACCACAGATCGTTATCTATCCTAGAAATCTTGCACCCATGCACCCGGAGATGTGTCCAAGAATGCTTAAGGCAAAATGGAGTAAAAGAGTAAATAATTAAAAACAATGTAAACATCCATCAATAGGAAAATGGCTTCTTAAATTATGAAACAGTCATTTGTCAAAGAGTCTGCAATAGTTGAAAAGGTCTACATGAACTCATATGGATACTCCCCTAGGCAGAGTGAGCCATTCCAGATATCCTGTACATAAAACAGAACAGCATGAAACAAAACAGAAAAACTGTATTGTTTTCTGATGTATACAGGTGCACTTATATACACAGAAAATGGCCTGAAAAGATAAAGCCCAAATTGGTAAGAGTGGGGAGGGAGGAAAGAGTGAATGTGAACTTACTTTTATATGTAATTATTTTGTTGTTGTTAATCCTCATCCCGAGGATATTTTTCCATTGATTTTTAGGGAGAGTGGAAGAGAGAGGGAGAGACAGAGAGAAATATCGATTGGGAGAAACACATCCGATTGGTTGCCTTCTGCACACACTCCAACCAGGGCCCAGGCCAGAGAGGAGCCTGCAACCAAGGAACGTGACCCTGACCGGGAATCAAACCCAAGACCCGTTGGTCCCCAGATCAAAACTCTATCCACTGAGCCAAACTGGCTAGGGCTGTAATTCTTTTTAATGAGGAGAAGGTAATTGTGAATTATGTATATAATTAGTAAAATTATTTTAGTGGACTAGCAAAATCTATTCTTCCCTTCGGAGTTCTTTTGGGGATCTGCTTGATCAGCTAACTTGAACTTGTAACAAGCATATTGCTTTTCCTGCGCATGGCCGTTACAGCCTCATTAGACCCAGGAGCCAAAGGATACTCTCCTTGCAGGAAAGCCACTTCAGCCCCAGCAGCTCTTGCCACATCAACAGAAGAAACAGCCGTGGGCTCTTCCCTCTGCACTGATGTTCCTCGGGCGATGGAAGCTTCATTACATCCCCATCACATTCGACATCTTTCCACAAACTCTCTTACCTCTTATGGAATCCCGTTCCTGCCTTCTTCCCACATCACACTCTCTCACCGCAATCATCTCAGCCCTGCAACTCACCTTTCTCCGCT